AGCAGCACAAACTGGAGATTGGAGATGATCATCCCTGCTCTGTGGCACTGAATGTCTGCCACACCCAGCCCAGGTGAAACAGTACAAACTTCATCAATACGATGTACTAATTAATAGATGGGAGAGTTTAAAATCCTGAGTTGTGTGTAGCGACCAGAGAGAGGATTTAGAATTAAGTATATGATGCTCAAGGTTTCTCGGTCCTCAGGCCTAAGGTTCTGCAAATGAAACACAATTCAGAGCACACTACTCCTGACCCTGAAACAAAATGCACAGTTCCAGCTTCACAACTAAGTAAAAGGCTGACACAAAATTCAATCTTTACTAAAACCATGTATTTCTAGAACTCACAGTTCACGAAAAGTTGCAGAATCATCTTATTTGTTCTCACAACAATCTTGAGAGGGAGGTCAGAAATCTACACGTTTCAGATGATGACAGACTCCCACCACCACTCCCTGTTCTCCAAGGACACTTGGGAGAAAGCATAACTGAAGAGCTACTTCCAGGCAGGAAAGGGAGCAAATTCATGACAGGAAGTAAGCAGGCAAACCGGATTTGGAAATTTTCTTCAACATTTCCTTCTGTTGTGCAGGAAACATCTGACACCCCTTCCTTCCTTGGTTTTTGTAATTCCTACTTTTCCAACAGTAGAAAGTTCTACTAAAAATAACTGCCTACACAGGTGCTTCTAAATTTAACAGGCACACAAATCACCTGGTAACTTGATGCAGTAGGCCTGGGGTGGGGCCTGCATTTCCAGCGAGCTCCCAGGGTACACGGATGGTGATGCTGCTGGTCTGAAGACCACACTTAAAAAATCACCTAGGGACTTCCCTGGTGGTCCAGTGGGTAAGACTCCATGCTCCCAATGCAGGGGGCCTGGGTTTGATCCCTGATTGGGGAACTAGATCCCACATGCATGCTGCAACTAGGGAGTCCACATGCCGCAACTAAGGAGTCCATGTGCCGCAACTAAGAGCCCACATGCCACAACTAAACATGTCGCAACAAAGATCCCATGTGCCGCAACTAAGAGCTGGCGCAGCCTAAATAAACAAATATTAAGGAAAAAAAAAAAGCACCTAGCAACCACTGTGGAGAATAGTATGGAGAGTTCCTTAAAAAAACTAAAAATAGGGCTTCCCTGGTGGCACAGTGGTTGAGAGTCCGCCTGCCTGTGCAGGGGACACGGGTTCGTGCCCCAGTCCGGGAAGATCCCACATGCCGTGGAGTGGCTGGGCCCGTGAGCCATGGCTGCTGGGCCTGCGCATCCGGAGCCTGTGCTCCGCAACGGGAGAGGCCACAACAGTGAGAGGCCCGTGTACCGCAAAAAAACAAAACAAAACAAAAAACAAACAAAAAAACAAAAAATAAAGCTACCATATGATCCAGCAATCCCACTCCTGGGCACATATCTGGAAAAGACAAAAACTCTAATTAGAAAAGATACAGGCACCCCAGTGTTCACAGCTGCACTATTTACAATAGCCAAGACATGGAAGCAACCTAAGTGTCCACCAACAGATGAATGGATAAAGAAGATGTGGTAAATATATACAATGGAATACTACTCAGCCATAATAAAAAGAATGAAATAATGCCATTTGCAGCAACATGGATGCAACTAGGGATTATCATACTAAGTGAAGTCAAAGACAAATATTGTATGATATCACTTATGTGTGGAATCTAAAAAAATGATACAAATGAACTTATTTACAAAACAGAAATAGACTCAAGGACATAGAAAACAACTTATGGTATACCAAAGGGGAAAATGGAGGAGGGATAAATTGGGAATTTGGAATTAACAGATACATATCACTACATATAAAATAAACAAAAGGGACCTATTGTATAGCACAGGGAACTAGAGTCAGTATCTTGTAATAACCTATAATGGAAAAGAATCTGAAAAAGAATATATATGTATAACTGAATCACTTTTCTGTATAACCTGAAACATTGTAATTAACTATACTTCAATAAAAAATAATAAATCAAAAATAAAAATAAAGAAAAATCAAGACCTAGCAGACATCTAGTGTTTACAATACTCATCTTTTCATAAACTTGCTACCATCCCAATGACCTCCCCTTTGTTAGGAATTCATCATTTCTTCAATTTCATATTCTTTATAGGATGTTGCTGCTTTTTTCCATTCTCAAGCAATCTTAAGCCCCATAAGTTAACTCTTTCTTAATTAGATTTTTCCAGCCTTCGATCTGTCCTCCCTCCAAATCATCCTGCTATCATTTAGCTTTTCTACAACAAGGAATCCACCTAGGTAATAAGGAGTTTCTCATGAAATCTAAATTCCTTGACTTGGACCTCAGGGCTCTCCAGTTTATTGTTCACTGTGTGCCAGTGTTCTAGCACTCTCCATGTATTAACTCATTCCATCCGTACCACAACCCTGTAAGGCGGACAGTAGTATTTTCTCTACTTTAGATGAGGAAGCTGAAGCACAGGTTAGGTAAGTTGCCAAGGTCACAAAGCTCTTAAGTGTCTGAAGTCAGTCTGGCTCCAGAACAAGGTGGAAAGGCTCAGCCTGAGGCATAAGTTTAAATTCAGGATCCATCAAAACTTGATGTGAGACTTGGGCAAGTCACAATGTCACTGGACCCCATCTTCTTCCCTCATAAAATGAAAGAGTTGGCCTCACTGGCCCGTAAGTTTCTTTCCCACGGAGTCTGTCTATTCACCTACGTTTCCTATTCCTTAACAGTATCAGGTGATACTTCTGTCACCCACTGTCCTCAGTGCCACCTCCGCTAGTGCTCCTGCCACTTCTCCCCCTCCCACCCCCTATCTGGCTTTAGCTGCTGTGTGGACTTGTTAGTTCATCACTAGTGCATCAGTTTCCACATGTGTCACGGCTGGGAAATACTTACCTCTTCAAGATCCCAGCTTTTGTGTTTTGCTAGGATTTTATCATAGGAAAAGGCTTAATGAAGAGGCCTGCAACACAGACATATTTTGAGTACACAGTGATTCTGCTGAAATTATATTTGACAAAATGAATTTTTAAAAAATAATTATTTTATTTATCTATCTCTGGCTGCGTCTTCATTGCTGCACGCAGGCTCTCTCTAGTTGCGGCGAGCGGGGGCTACTCTTTGTTGCGGTGTGCGGGCTTCTCATTGTGGTGGCATCTCGTTGCAGAGCACGGGCTCTAGGCGTGCAGGCTTCAGTAGTTGTGGCACACGTGCTCAGTAGTTGTGGCTTGCGGGCTCTAGAATTCAGGCTCAGTAGTTGTGGCACACGGCCTTAGTTGTTCCACTGTATGTGGGATCTCCTGGACCAGGGCTCGAACCCGTATTCTCTGCATTGGCAGGTGGATTCTTAACCACTGCGCCACCTGGGAAGTCCCGACAAAATGAATTTTTGACCTGAGTTTCTTCAGTTAGTCTCTCCCATCTCTTGGGATCTGAGCATCACTGGATTGTCAAGAAGTTACCCCCAGAAACGTGAGAAGGTTCAGGCTAAACATGGAGGGAAATCAAGAAAACATACTCGTGGCCCTTAGAAATGCTTTTATTTATAAAATAACTACTTAAATATAAACATCTCTAGATACAAACACTATTCACAAGAGACTCTTGCCTTGCTTCCTTCTGACCAACCAGCAGACTCAGGGGGGCCAAGGAGTTCACAGCTGTCTCCCAATTCATCATAACTTTAAGGCAAAGGTGCATTTGGAGGAGCAAGGGCTGTAAGGCTGTTCTTAATTCCCTTTCTTAAAAGACAAAATTCATGGTTTCCTGTTCCAAGGTAGGCGTTCTTGTCTGGGGCAGACCTTAAGAATCAGAGCCCTGCTCAGATAGAAACTTCAGGGGAAGATTCTTAGTGTTAGGATTAGTAAATATCTTCCTGAGGTGGAGGGAGGCACAATCAGGCACTTTAGATTCTGTTTGGCTTAGACCACGGTCTCTGAAGCACCGGGGCTGATGAAATAGGAAATGCTTATTTCCAAGTCTAGGATAAGCTACTTCTGGGACTGCTTATCCGAATTCAAATAAGACACACGCGTTATGTTTTCTGCATCTGTGGACAGTAGTGTGCTTGGATGAAGGGGAGAGGCATCCAGTCTCCCAGCAGGCTAGACTGGCTTCAGCCCATTGCAGAATGAGTCCCTCTAATGAAATGGCGGGAGCTCTGATCCTGTTCTCCTAGGAGAGTCTATCAGATATTGAGCTTCAGGAGAGAGGCCAGGAGACATTATCACGCACAGACCATATAAAGTAGGATGATTGTCAGCAAGGTGTGGAGGATAGCACCTAACGGGAAGAGAACCTTTCAGATGAAGGTTCAAGGAAAAGAAAGACCCTAAGCATTTTTTAAAAGGAGAAAGAAAGTAGTTGAATTTTGCCCAAGCAATCTGGAAGTGCAGTGAAATAAATAAGAAAAAGATTACAAGTGGTAGCGTTTTAGGGACTTTTAGAAATAAGGGGTGTGTGTGTGTGAATGTGTGCCAGACACTGAGGTTTTAAAACACCAGATTTGGTACAAGGTCGACAAACTCCTTGCCACATGCAGAGGCGCAGCCTGAAAGGGCTCCCAGAGAATTCTTTTCATCCAAGTCGGTTTCCAGTCAGTCGATCATGGTGCATGGGGCCACCCCAAACTCAGTATGGCACAACCAACGCCAACTTCTTCTAATGCTATAGCACAGCTTCCACCATATATTGGATACCGGTCTTCTGACTGGAAATTTCTCGTTTCCAAAAGCTGACCCCAGGATTGGCCTCTCTTCTCACGGTCACTGAATCATTTGCAAGCCCCAGGGTCCATTTCAAATTCTAGAAATTCTAGCAAGCATCAAGGTTGACAACCCAATCAAAGAGAGCAAGACTTATCTTGTGCCCCACTGTGCCATGGTTAAGCCATGCAGGCAGGGCCAGTGTCTCAAGAGCAGGTGTCCTCTCAGTGGACACCAGGACCCTTCAGCAGAAGGAAGCAAAGGCAGCAAGGTTGAATGGGAGGCAGAACAGGTTCAGGTGTACTCAGTTTTGCAGATATAATTGGATGGAACATAGCCCTTCTTCCCATTAACTTCGGCTAACCACCATTCTGTATTTCCTGTAACATCTTTAAACTCCAGGATCTTGAGTCTCTGATTGGCTGACACACTCAGCTCATTTGGGTTCCGTGCCTTAAAGGTATAGACAGCAAAATAGACCTGTGTGAGGAAGAGAAAGTGAGTTAGGAAATGGGAAACAGCTTAGAGCAAAGCTGCCCAACAGAACTTCCTGTGGTGATGGGGACCATCTGTATCTGCACCATGGAATATGGCAGCCCTTAGCCACATGGCCATTGAACACTTGAAATATGCCTAGTGAAATGAAAGAACTTAATTTTAAATTTTGTTTAATTTTACCTAACTTAAATAGCTACATACGGCCTGTGGCTACCCGAATGAACAGGTCAGATTTAAAGAAAACCAAAATTCACATATTTTTACTTTCAGAGTTGCCTTAAAGAGTGAAAGAAGCTGCAGTCAGCATGGAAGATGGATGAGACATGAGGATGCCCTTCCATACCCCTAACACAGAAATTCTGAATTTAAAAAACTTAAAAAAAAACCCAAAACACAACTAACCTCAAAGTAAGAAAGGATGCTCTCTAGGTGCCCATAACAAAGCTATCATGCAAAGCAAGGGTGGTATTCAGTGATCAGAAGGAGAAGTCAGGAGGCCCGCAGGGGCACAGGGATGAATACACACCCGAAGGCTGGGGTTTAGGACCTGCTCAGGAACTGGAGCTTATGAGGCTAGAAGTGAGCTCCTTGCACAAAGTCAGAATCTAAGAAAGGGCCATTTCCTCCCTTATCACGTCTAGAAAAACTGCCTGCTGGTGGGTCCAGAGCTGGGATGTGCGTCCTGGGCTGTGGTTTGTAACAGAACCACAGAGAGCTCACAGACGAAGGTAAGACACACACAGAGACTCACTGCTGCAAGTGAGCAAAGGCAAGAGGCAGGTGGCCAGGGATTCCTCAGCTGTGGATGTGAAAGTGGCTTTAAAATATGTAGGTTTAAAATGTTTAAGATACAAAGAGCAGGCCATTACGAAAAGAATAGGAAAAACTGAAACAGAGCCAGACTTTTATTTCTGAATTCTAGAAATAAACATATAGTTATTTGAATAAAAAACTAAGTGGACGAGTTAAACAGCAGACTTTATACAATGGAAAAATCAGCACACACTGGAAGAGTGGGAAAAGCTTCATGGTAAAACCCTGTAAATGCCCCAAGACACAACAGCCTGTGAAGTCAGCCAGGGAAGGGCCCAGAAGGGGTGGAGCTGCCCACTCTTACAGCAGCAAGTTTCCACAAATGGTTTAAGGATTTGTCTGCGAGCCCATCTCCAGGTCACCCCCAGGCCCTGGGTAAGCCTCTGACTCACCCACTCCTGGGAGGGCATCACCTGCATCTGCTCAGGCGCAGTAACCACAGTACCCAGGCCACACTCACCTGGTTGCCTTCCGCCTCGCTGTCTTCCAGCTGTCCGTTTCTGTCATCCAGAGACAGGGCTGTTCTTGCACATCCTTTTACGAGGTCTCCACCCTGCCCGTTTCGCCCTGGCACGGAGTAACCAGCCATTTCTGGATGCCTGGGGTTTCGGGAGCTCCTCAGAGTGGGAGCAGGCTGCTGAAGGTCTCTGGCAGCGTCTACCGAATCCCAGGGCCCGTGCTGGGAGGGGGAGTCTGGGTCCGAGGGGCATCTGGAAGGGCTGCTCTCTGAGTTCAAGGGTGCGCTGAGAGTCCCTTGGTCAAATTCCGTCAGTGAAGATGTGTCTGGAGGCTGTTTCTGGGAAGGCCCTGAGCTAAAGGACACGGCCACACTGCTGGGGTTGAAGGTCAAGGTGCTGCCACTGTTCTGCCGCCGGGGGAACCTGGGGGAGGAGCTGCCGTGCTCCGACTCGGTGGAGGAGTGGCTGCCCACGGAGGCGTCGGAGTGGCTGCGGCGTGCATTGTAGGGCTTCAGGAAGGAGCTGTACACAAAGCCTTTGGTGACTGCAGGCAGGAAAAACAAACACGAAGAGCTTTTCGTGGGAGGAGGAGGGTGGAGGAAATCAGGAGAGAAGAAACTATGGTTTAAGGTCAGTAGTGAGACAAAATAAGATTCCTAGAGACAAACAGAACAGACACCATCCCAGGGCACAATGTGGGTGGTAGACACAAGATGCTGTGGCCTCCTGCCAGTTCACACCTATTACAACCACACAACAGGTGAGTGACAAGGGGCTTTGCTGAGAATGAAGAGACAGTAACATAAACAACCACAGACCACATGTCTGAGTGAGCATGAGTAGACGAAGAAAACAGAAGGGCCAGACCATGGGAACAAAGGCTAAGGGGAAGACTTAACTAAGGATGTGTTCAACTGTCCATCGAGTGTGGTAAAAAGGGATTTTAAAAACCATCCTCAGCATGACAGAGCCCCTCGGATATGCCTCCCTGCCCTCTCCAACCACACACTTGAATCTCTGTCCCTGGTTTAGGAATGAGGTGGGAATACTGTGAGAACTAGCTGCTTATATTAGTTAGAATACACATCTAACACATGTTCATATCAATAAATCACCTAAGATGAGGACAGAGAGGGCCCTCAGCTAAAACTTTTAAGCATAGATTAGGGATTGAGATCCCTGATCCATAGGAAAAATTGTTATATTTATTAGGAAAGAATTATCTGTTAAGGCAGGGACCCAGAGCATGTAACCTCAACTTGAGCAAGGGCCATCTCTGTCTTGATCTTCAGAGTGTTTCCTGGACCTAAAAAAAAGGCCAGCCTGCACTTGTTCTATCTGCTGGGCAATGGGGAGGAGTCCCCTGAGCATATGCCAAGGGGTGGAGGGTCTAAGAGCTGATGCTATGAGCTTCTGGCTACCACTTTACTCACCAGGATTTAGTAGATAAGGAAGAACCCCAAGGACAGGGGGAGCTCAAACAGCCTGGATCTTCACTAGGAGTTCATCTGTCTATCAGTGGCTCCCACCTGTCATCACCCTGGGGGACCCATCCTTCGTCCTTCCTTTCCCACTTCAATCTTTATTATTTTGGGTAAGCAGAGCAGGGGGCTGGGGGAGGAGAAAAAATCCACACAACACTTTTAAAGAAACTGAGAAATGTTAAAATTTTCAGTTCTTGTGGTATGAACATAGATGTTTATTATAGAGGCCCACAATCCTTTTCTAAAACACTCGGGGCCGGATGTGTTTTGGAATTCAGATTTTGGGATTTAGGAAAGGTAATCAAGTATACTATAGATTTCATGATATACCCAGCAGGGTCTGGGTCGACACCCCATAGTCAAACCCATTCATGTTTCTGTAGCAAAACGTATGTGACTAGTCACACCAAAAGGGAAAAGTAATGATCATAAACAGCTTCACATCATTTGTTCAGGTTTTGTCACCAAATGAGTTCAGATCAGGGCAGGTTTTGGCAAATTAGTTCTGGAAAAAAACCCTCTGATATTTCAAAGCTTTTCAGATTTTGGAATTGTTATTCTTTATTATTCTTTGTACGCTGAAAAAAAAATTCTGTATGCCTTCCCCACCCCCACTCCCAAAAGAAAAAAGGCTGTAAGTTGTTTTTAAAGTCATTCCCTAAATAGTCATGCAGTAAAATTGTTTGTTGGTTGGGGGCAGGGGTGACTCAAAAAGCAAACAACCCCTTCTTAAAGGTTTTAAATTCATATGCTCACAAAACACACCTACAGAACTTGTGGTTCACTCAGGTTAGGATCGAGAGGGCAAAGGACCCTTCAGGCAGGGTTCACTGCCTGTAAAGGTAAAGCAAGGCAAGATCTTGCAAGGTAAGTAATGGAGTCTCCTCTGGAATTTTTAAAAAAACAAAAACAAAATCAAAGACTGGTTTTGCTTCAGTAATGACTTGAGCATTACACTCTCTAGAGATGGAGAGAACTTTTAAGGTTGCTTTTCCCTTTCACCAAACACTCTCATATTTTTCTCTGGCCTACCCAGGATTCAGGCACAGTCCAAATCACTCTTTC